GGTAAGAAGTATACAATACCTGCAGTACTGTGTTTGCTGGGGCCAACGGCCTCAGTTCTTCCCTCTTTCTAAATGTACAAATTTTGCACTGTGAGCATGGCTCACGACACTGCTTGAACGTGGCCTAGCACTGTGACGTGCTTTGGTCAGAAAGAACAGGGCAGAACTTATGCTGTGCTAGGGCTGAGACCAGGCTCCTCAGCCCTCGGGTGCTTCTGTTCTTGTGGAACCCTGACATCCCAGTAAGAACAAGCAGACGAGGCTGCTGGGGGCGGAGATTGCCCATGGAGTAGCGCTGGATAATCCCAGCTAAAGCCATCCTAGACAAACCAATCTCCACTGACTTACCAGCGAATGGGCTATGATCAGCTGAGTCTGACCCTGACCAGCAGAGTTCTCCAGCTTACCCATAGACTCATGAGAAAAAAGAAATTGGTATTTTGTCATGATGCTGGTGGGTAAAGAATGGGGAAGTTGCATTGTAATCATTCATGCAGGTATGCTACTAATTGCAGAATAGCTTGGAAAAAGAATACCTATTTTTGCATATGCAAACTTACTTTGTAGGGATGTACATGAAACTGAAAATGGTATCTTTAGGGGATAGGGGCTATGGTGGTCGTGGGAAGTGGGGAGGGAGACCTCTTGTATCCTTTGAATTTGAAGCATGTGAACATATTTCCAGTGAATGAAATCTGTTCTTTTTACTGAAGCCTTTCCAGAATCATTGAATCATCACTAGGAGAGAACAGGAACTCTTACATTCTATAGCTGAGATTATAAATAGGTACACTCATGGTAGGGTAGAAACATGGATTTAAGCAGTGCCTATAGAAATACATAACCACAGCCGGGCGGGGTGGCGCATGCCTGTAATCCCAGCACTTGAAAGACTGAAGCAGGAGGACCACTGCGAGTTGAGGCCAGCCTGAACTGCAAAGTGAGCTCAAGGCCAGCCTTAACTGCATAGTGAGACCCTGTCTCAAAAAAGATAAAAAAAAAAAAAAAAGAAGAAGAAGAAAGAAAGAAATACGTAAATGCAGGCTGGGCATGGTGGCACACACCTGCAATCCCAGCACTCAGGGATCTCTAGTTATTGCTTCTAATCCATTAGTAAACATTCCTCAAGGGCATTTGTGGTACAGCATAGGTAGGCCGGGCATGGTGGTGCACACCTGTGATCCCAGTACTCAGGAGGCTCAGGCAGGAGGATTGCTGTGAGTTCGAGGTCAGCCTGGGCTATCTAAGCAAGTTCAAGACCAGCCTATATTACATAGTAAGACCCTGTCTAAAACAAAACACCAGAAATCGTAAATGTATATTCAATGCACATACTGTTTTTGCAAGAACCTGCCATAGTTGATAATGCAGGCTGCTTCTGAGGAGGGAGCTGATGAGACTGGGGGTAAAGGGTGAGAGGCAGACTTACATTTCCCTGTATGTCCTTTTTAATCTTTGAAATTTTTACACTGAACTCTTCTTACCTTCCTAAAAGGAAAATAGTGAATAAAATGTATACCTTTTTGCCTAACGATGTTCACTTCTAAGAATCTTGCAAAAGTATTTACAGAAGCAGACAAAGATAAATACACAGGAACATATACCTCTGTATACTAAAATTATACAGAACCTAAATGGCCATCGATTGAGGACTAATTATGGAATATTCACAGAAGGGAATATTATACAGTTGCTAAAAATTAATTCCTAAGTCATCACTTAGCTCAACATAGAATATTTCAGAATTCTTGAAGAACCCACTAGTTACTCTCTAACAATGATCACAAACCGAATAAACCCACCATTGAAATTACACAAAACATTCTAGAATTCTTTAAGCACCTTCTAATGTTCACTTCCAGTCATCCACTCTCAAGGAATTATCATAAACTGAAAAACCCATGTAACCATAACCCATGTCTACATAGAACATTCCAAAACTCCTGAGGCACTCCCTAACATCCACTTCCAGCCATTTACTCTTTAAAAGAGTAGATAATAAACACATACGTAGGTGCTATGCAGCCATCATGGAAGTCACACAGAACTTTTCAGTTAACATCCATTGTGATAATTCAAGTTGTGTAATTTTTGGGAGACAGAGTCTTGTTCTGTAGTCAGGCTGGAATGAAACTGCCTATGTATCCCAGGCTGACCTCGAACCTGTGATCCTCATACTTCAGCTTCCTGAATGCCAGGGTCACATAAATATTTGCTAAAACATAAATATTTGCTAAATTTATTTCAATGGGGAACTTCAAATCACTATCAAATGTGTGTGTCACCATGTGCAGCTCTCCAGGCTGTACATTTTTTTGTATGTTATACTTCAAAAATGTTGTAAGGGCTTGGGAGCATAGCTCAGTGGTAGAGTGCATGCTTAGTACACATGGGCCCTCGGTTCAATCCCCGGCAACACACAAAAGTTCTAAAATGTACGTCTATTACAAATACATTTACATATGTATAAAAGTGATTAGGGCCACAAATCAAATTTTATTATCCATGAGAGGGCTGTGGACAGAGCAGTCTTTTTCACTTTGAATACTTCTATAAGGTTGGAAATATTTCTATTATGAAAATTGTTTCTTCTTAAAACTAAGATAAAGAAGAAGCTTAATAAAACAAAAAGTAAAGCTCTGCTCTGGCAGTTAATTTTGTCTCTGAGGAGAAAGTATACATGCTCAGGTTTACAAGTCCTAGAATTCCTGACCTTAAGCCACAGGTCCTGGAGGGAGATAAAAACGCAGAGGAGTTAGACTAGAAAAATTCTTTTACCCACAGCAGCAGGCCTCCAGGAGTCAGACTGGGAACTTTCTCTGCGGGATACATTCTGACTTCAGCTATCTTAGTCAAACAGATAAGCAAGCAAACCAGATCTGAAGGGGTCTTAAGGTCCCTTTCCTGGGAGAAAAAAAACCAAGGGGACTGGAGATACTAGACCTCTCTTATCACATTTCCCAGAAGAAAGAGAACCTCAGAAAGAGAATTCAAAGAGGAACCCCAAGAGTATTCCATACAGACTGGTTTTTAACTTCTTCACAACAGCTCCACACACCAATGTAACCCAATATTTTCCTGGATTGATGTTCTTGTATATATAAAAAACTTCTAAGATTTTGGCAATATGAAAATGTCACTCATTGTTAATATAATTGTTTCTTTTATCTCAGCTTTTCTCTGCTATATTTGAAAAACATAAATATTTGCTAAATTTATTTCAATGGGGAACTTCAAATCACTATCGTAAATGGAAAACCATTATTTCATGCCACAAACAGAAGGTAAATATTAGGTACATATTAATAAATATTACTGAGGGGGGTGTTCCTCCACTAAGACTCTTCATGCAACTTCTCCCCAGGAACATCCGGAAGACAAACCTTGATGCCCCTCCCGGAGGTTACTAATGTTTATGGGGGACCCTGAGACGCTATGTTTGAGCTCATGGTTTTTTAAGAAACAGATACATGTGTGTACTTTCACATGCACTTACATGGTATATGAGTATTCACATACCCGTGCACCGTGTGCTGCAAAGCTCTGCAAAGATGCTCCAGTAGCAAGATCACACCTTGTACTTGTGCCTTGCTTTCTAAATCCCCTTCTCTATGAAGAGGAATTGGGCATCCTTAAGAGAAACGACTGATTCTAGGGCTAGGGCAAGAGAAGTATAAATGGGAAATGTCTTGTGCCAGAAAGTAAAAAGCTGCCCCAGAATGACAGGACACAGAGGAGCTTAGAGGGGATATTACTGTCCAAACGTGAGACAAACTGAGTATGAAAATAATTATGGTAATGAATTAAAACCCACCATCTGAAACAGGATTCTGAGTCCACACAGATGCAATAAATGGTGGCAATGAGTTCTTCACAGTAAGTTACTGACTAATATGTAGGAGTGATAGAATTACATAGAACCACTATTAGGTAGTCATCAGAATACCACTGGGTAGGAAATATCAATGGACATTAAAACCTGTGGGTGAAAAGAGGAAATAGAATATTTATACTGTACACTCTTTCCTCATGAGGAAACATACCCTAATTCAGGAACATTTTAGTGTAACTGGCTGGCATTTTTAAAAACTGTGAGGATCACAAAGAGAATGAGGGAATCCAGACTGGGGGAGACTAGGCACCTAACAATTATGTAGAATCTGGATTAATCCTGGACAAGGAGATTTTTTTCCACTTGCTAATAAAAGCATTACTGGGCTCATAGTCAAATTGGAATGAGTCTGTGAATTTGATGGCACTTTTATATCAATATTAGTTTATTGATTTTGATAGCTGTAATGTGGTTACCGAGAATGTCCTTGTCTTTAGGAAATTTTTATTGAAGCATTTAAGGATAGTGAAGTATTGTGTCTGCAACATATCACATGGATCAGAACTTATTCTCAGATGGTGCGCGCACGCACACACACACACACACACACACACACACAGAATTTTAAAAATGTGGTTAAATGATAACAATTAGGAAACCTGGGTGAAGGATACAGGAAAATTCTTTAGGCTATTTTTGCAATGTTTTTGTACATATGAAATTAACATGAAGTAGTCTATTCATCAAAAAAAACCCTAAAAATAAAATGGAGCACTTATAAGTGCTCATACATAAAATGTTTTATTTTTGTGTGTTTCACCACCCAATCTTGTCCTAAAATTAATTTATAGAGGCTTATAAATATGTAAAAAATATAAGAAGACAAATCAAATTGAAAGCAAATAAATATGTGTGACCCTAGCAAAAACCTTCTAAATTGTCAAACTCTGCAAAATCATGTTAAAAGTTTGACAGATTATGTGGAGACTTCTCTTTGGGGAAATAGCCCGAACTTCAATATATCTATTAGTTCTTTCATATTCCTGATGTGCTTTTACATAAAACTTGATTTGCCCTTAGAATAGACTATTGGGATATGGAAGCAGAAAATGATGAGCAATAAGAATTCAGGAAGTAAAAAAGAATTGAAGAGATAGACTTTAAAATATTATATTTTATGCATGTATATACTTTATTAACTTTGCATTCTAAGATAAACACAAGCCAGCATTTCACAAAACTTTGTTATTCCAAAAGCTATTATGAAACATAGTGATTAAGTATCAAGCCAAAACAGTATCTATAGGATTTTCCTAATGTATTACTCTTCACACTTGTTTTCAAATAGAAACTTGAAATATATAATATTAGAATAAGAAGAGAGTTTTACGTTATAACAATAACCACTTTTCAAATATTAGACTTTATATAAAAATAAAGGAGCACTGTTAACAAAGCTCATCTGTGGGCTAGCATATCTCTTCTTTATTTCAGAACAATCTTTGCACAAACTTAACTTTCTAGTCCATTTATTTATATACTTATTTATTTTGGTACTGGAGACTGAATCAGGGCCACGCACAAGACAGGCAAGTGTTTTACCACTGAGTTAGTTCCTCTGCCCTTTGGGACAAAGTCTTGCCCAGGCTAGTCTTAAACTTGTTGTGATCCTCCTGCCTCAGCCTCCTCAGTATCTGGGATTACAGGCATGTACCACTATGTCCAGCCTCTAGTCCATCTGATTAAAACACATAAAAACGACCCTTGGTTTAAACAAAGTGAATTATCCTACCTCCTGGTAATCAGACCACTGAAACAATTTCTTCCCCAGGTTCTACCCCACCACTGAACTTCAAAAATAAATTTAAAGATCACCACATTTCAAAGGTTATCTCTTAATAGTCCTAAATTAGAACTTACAAATGTTCCTTTAAGGCAAATAAGAAAGTAGAGTGAAAGTAGACAAATCTCCTGAAAGACAAAACCATCTACCATCATTACAGGGACAAAATATCTTAGTATGGCCCTTTTACAAACAGAATAGGTACAATGAATGCTATCAAAGAAGTTTTCTTTTAAATAGCACACGAGGGGTCTACTTTCCTGACAGATGCATATATATTAGGCTTGACAGATTATGCACTTTGCACAGGCAAAACAACCCAAGAACTAAAGTCAGTGAGGGCTGTTATGGTGCTGATTACAATTAGAAAGAAAGAACACGTCTGATTCTGCGACAGAATTACTGTGCTGCAAGCCAAGCGATGCTCTCTAATAATTGAAAGAGCACAGGTTTCCCTTCAAACTATTACTAGTCTCTAAGTGCCTTCAAAGCACATCATTTTCAAGTCCAAGGAGCTTTCCTTCAAGACCCAAGTGCAGTAGTTTTTGTTCCTTACATTCACTTAAAATGGAATATTATGATCCTAGTGTGTAAATGTGCATATTAAACAGACATTCCATACACAATGTCCAAGTACTAACAGAAACTTATCAGAACAGACATTTACATAATGAAGTAAATAGTACATTAACAGAACATTAGATTACACTCAAGATTTCTTAAATGACTCATTCAGGAGACTCTTCCTAGAAAAATTAAATAACATTTGGTACTTCACACTTGCTAACTTGTATACTGTTTACGGCTCAAGCAGCTTCCTTAAAGCAGAATGCACGCTAACACTGACTTTTTCAACTCCTAAAAGCTTCCTTATAGATAGTAAACTGCCTGGATGATAACACAGCATGAATAAGAACTGGATTCCCACTCTGAGGACAACACAATAACCAAAACACCCATCACCACACAACAAAACAAACAAGTCTAATAACAAAAAGGAATCAGAACAAAGCAGCAACTAAAACAGTACGTGGCAGTCACACAAAGCTTCCCTTTCCATGTGATCTTACAATATACATCCCTTCTAGCATGACAATGTACCCAAGGCATTTAAGCCCCCATGATACTACCACAAACACTGACAGCTCCATGGACGCCTGCTTTTGTACACAGTGGTTTGTGTACAGAACATTATTCATTCATTTGAAGATGCTCCACACATCTGGTCAAGGCAGGAATTTCTTCTCCTTGGTAACACCACCTAGAAATATCAATAATATTTTATATATTCCTTAGGGCTACAGGTCTGGGGTGAGAAATATCAACTGTGGTATCGAAGTCACAAGGACCCGCAGTGACTAATCCCCTACGTTCAATTACATTCTTGATATTAAATCAATGCTCACTTCATACACTCAGCAGCAAAGAAGCAGTAAGGGTAGTGATGGAAGCAGCTACGTGTTTCTTCCTCTTTGTGAGGAATGGCAAGAAAGCAGCTCAAACAGGGAAGGGAAACAAAATAATGCACTTTAAGCCAATGCAGGAAAGTAAAAATTTAATATAATCAAAAGTGATTTGTGTATCACTATGACATAAAGAGACTGCAAAGTATGTCCACAGAAACAAAAAAATCTCTCAAGCAAGAGAATTTCTGATCAATTCTGTTGTATCACTGCTGGGTAAAAGAATCATAGAAAATACAAATTAGTGACTTTCTCAAACGCAGAGATTTGAAAAGAGGTGTTCACTGAGGTATTAAGACAAAAAACTCTAAGTGATAAAAAATGAGTATTTGAGATTGAGTCACTAGGTGCAAAATGAGATAAACAAAACGACATTAGTAAGCTCACAAAATTGAAATTTAGAGGAAAGAGATGTCCAAAAACAACATTAGAATGGTTGACAACGGTCAGACTTTGATCTTTATTATGGATCAAAGTTCTCTGCTTTCCTCGCAGAATGGTTTATGTGGGAAACAGCAGTTAAAAAAATCAGAAATGGGTAAGTCACTTGGGTGAGAGATCATCCATCTAGATGAACGGAGAGCATGAATTGGAGCATGCTACTGAAGACTCTGCGGGAGCGCTGCCTGTAGCCAGTGAGTCTGAGGATAAGCCACTGCTGCTACTACTGCCATCCATAACATCCGGACTGAGGACAAAGCAAAAAGAATTATAAGCAAATGCATCTATCAGGGTAAACATAACATGCAACAACACAGTTTCAAGGACTCACACATTGGTAAAGCAGTTGTAAATAATAAAAAGCATAAAAGCAACAGCAATGAACTACATAATGTACTATATTGAGATATCTGCAAAATTATGAAATTTGGACAAAAACCCAAGGACTTAAAGTCTTGTATCACCTGAGCACCCCAACCCAGAGACATAATGCTGTGCAACACACAATGTACATTCCTCCTGATATGCTATGGTTTTGATGAGGGGTTCCTTGACGACTTGCTCAAGAGACTTTCGTCCTTACTTCTCTTCTTACCACCAGGCTTGAAGTGCGAGGAATGGTTATTTACTGAGGTACCCATTCTTGGACTGGTTGAAGGTTGACATCAAGCATACTGCTTCCCAGTTCTCTATTCTAAAATAAAGTCTTTCACCCATCCTAGAGTTGATCACTTGCTCATTCCCAAGAGACCTTCAAATCCAATGCATTTTTCTTCTGATTTTTCTCTTATCATAAATCTTTCATATTATTTTCTTTTTATGAATTTCTTACACTGTTTCCTTTCTTCCTGCTTTCAAACTGCAAAGAGTACCCTGCTATCTCTAAAAGACTCCTTTCCTTTGATCCCTCACTTTATTCCCCAGGTAAGCTTCTAAAATGCATGCTTTGTACCCATGGTCCCAATACCCTGTCCCCTCTGCCTCTTTAAATGTAGGAACTGACCCCTGTTCAGATCCTTCCACTCAAACTGCTCTGGACACCTAGTGCCTCGACACTCTGGGGATAACTTCCCCCAACTGGCCCAGGTGCTGCTCACTGCTTCCAACAACCAAGCTGCCTGTCTCATAAAATTGGCTTCCGACTTCAGCATGGAACCAAGTGTTCACAACTTGGCATCAAGCTGCCTTTCTGGCTTTAATCCCCACTGATCCAATATATAAGCCCTGTGCTGTCTGCTCTGAATTCACTCATTTGTTTATTCTAATATTTACTGAATGCTAGCCAGTGCAGAAAGTATGTTAGATGTTAGAGGGACAACGGTGTGAAACACGAGCATGGTCCCTGCTCTCACTGATTTTATAGAACAGTGGAGACAGACATTTAAATAAACATGCTAATAAATGTAACTTATGATACAAGTAATAAAGGATACAAGGGGTCATGAGATTCTACCACATGGGTACATTGATTTAACCTGGAGGACCAGGGAAGGACTGCTCAGAGATGCTACATGCATTGTAATGTAAAAGATGAGTAGGCACTGACTAGGGAAGGCTTTGGAGGAAGCCAGGGGAGTTCAGGAAATCAAAAGCAGACCAGTGCACCTCTAGTAAAAGGAGTAAAGAGAATATAGTAAGAGACAAAGCTGGAGAGGGAGTCAGGCAGTTTAAAAATCTGCACAAACTTTAAAAAAAAATAGAAAAAAAAAGCATAAAATTAGAAAAGGAATCATGAACCAAAAAATATAGGCTCAAGGTTAAGGGTGGACCCTAGACTCATTTGCAAAAGCCCATTTTGTTCTACACAAAATACAATGTCTAAATGTTAGGAGGCTTTAATATTGATATTTTATGAATTTCCAAGTTGAAGTATTTCTGGTGTTATGTAACCTATGGTACATCTGTAAGTCTCTGGGCTCTATACTCCCCTCAGTGAAATATAACTCCCCTTCTTGCATTGCTACTGTTCTTTAAAATATAATTTCTTTCTTCTTTTTTCCCTTTTTTGCAATGCTGAGAATCAAACCCAGGGCCTTCGGCATGCTAGTCGAGCGTCTACCACTTAGCTATACCTCCAGGCTTCACTGGTACTTATTTCTACTGCTTGTGGGTTTTTAGATGGAAACAGACTACAAATAGGGGTTCGAAAAGCAAAAATAAAAATGGAAATAGTATATTCCACACTACTCCTACATTATGCTCATTGCTGTGAAATGCATCATTAACAGTCCGACTTTTAAGTAAGAAGTTTGGAAAATTTAGTTGGCTCTGATATTTGTTCAACCAAGTGGCAAAACAGGTCTGAAATATGAATTATTGAAACTCCTGAAAGAGAGTTGCACAGATAATCCAAGACAGTGGGAAATCAAAAGACCTTTCTATTTGCCTCTGGAACATATGTAACTTTTCCTCCTGCAGCTTTTTGCCTAGACTAATATTAAAATGAATTTCCTTTCTTAAAAAGCACATACTAGCTGGGCAGCCGAAGGACACGCTCTATGCTACTTGGCAGGAAGAAACACGCTTAGATTAAAATTTGGCCACTGTGCAGATAATCTGAATATAAATAAAGAATTCTTTATTCCAACCACCATACTTATGGCGAGCCCGGGGTTAAAAGACTGCATTTGGATTAAGATCTCCTTGCTTGGGTGAATCATCAATCCATTCAAAAACATAAAATATGACTCCTGCGAAATTCTTCTACTAACACTGTTGATCACCATAAAAAAATAAACTAATGAAGAAATTACCAAAAAATAATTAAAAACCTGAACATTTTATTTCATAATTTCCTATTATTATATATATACATAATTTTGTTGATTAACAAAAAAATAGCATACTTACATTTAGGCTCCACTGCAATTTAGATGCAGGAGTTTTGCCTAGACATTTTTATGAAACTAAAATCTACTTTCTGTTCTAATAAATCTGGCATGACTACATATCAGCATGGAATCAGAACCTACAGGTCACATGTAACCCAATTCTTTTCCATATAAAGTAAGACTTATACAATTCTTTAATCCACAGGAAATGACTACACAAATTTTCATAGTGACCACTATGAAATCTTATGCCAGAGCTTCTAACAGCAACAAAGTCTGCTCTGATTTGAGTTCCTCTCTTCTCTTTCTTGCTTAAGCTCTGTTGGAGGTGCTAATGAGCCCTACTTCCAGCTAATGGCTGACAACTGCAGAAAAATCAGAGCACTTAGACAATTCACACTGGACATAGCAGTACCTGAATCAAAAGCGAACTAATTCATTCTAGCAACTGAATAGACATGCTGAGGAAATACTAGAATGACAGAATTGAAAGTACCATGACTGTGCTAGTACCCTCAGTCTAGAAAAACTAAGGGTGAAAGTATAGCATAAGCCAATCATTCAAATATTCTAAGGGCAAAACTAGGATGTCCAGTGTGACTCAGGTAATCACTCACCTTCCTGAGCCCCTGTGTACCTTGTCTGACCAATAAGCTAGGTTCTATCAGAGTAATGGCACACTGGTAACACAGTAGAAACTAGCCACGGTAAAAGGTGAGATTATGGGCATCCTAACACCCTTTGTTAAGAGCTGGATTGGTACATATGACTTCTGTCTTCGTTCTCTTGCATTAGAAAGGCCTAGCATTATTATTACCAATAACATACAAGTTTTTAAGATCACGTATTTCAATCCGATCATTACCACAGTTATCTTGTCAACAGGAATTTAAGTATCTCTACAGTACTATATATGTATACGTTTCTATTAATTTATTAAATAAATCATGATTAAAACTTATTGTCTTATAACTGTCATATATTTATGATGATGACACGTATGGCATTAAAAATGGCAGTACTCCAGAACCACTAAGATAAATCTAATATAAAATGTAAAAATATATAGCCATGCTGGGCATGATGAATGCTTGTAATCCCAGCACTCAGGGGGCTGAAGCAGGAGAATCACCATGAGTTAGAGGCCAGCCTGGGCTACATGGTGAGTTCAATGCCAGTCTGAACTACGCAGTGAGACCCTGTCTCAAAAAAAAAGTAAAAATAAAACATTGCATTAAAATTGATGCACTGGCCAGGTGTGATGGTGCATGCCTATAATCCCAGAACTCAGGAGGCTGAGGCAGAAGGATCGTGGTGAGTTTGAGGCCAGCCTTGGCTACACAGTGAGTTCAAGGCCAGCCTGAACTATATAGCAGGACCCTCTCTCAAAAAATAAAGACTGATGCACTGGACAAGGAAATTCACAGGTCAATTTTTTCCTTAATGTAGGAAAAATAAACTATTTTTATTGTTATATACTCCTCAGGGTCAGGAGTCCTGAAAGTCCCTTTGATACAGCATGCTGTAGGTACATACAGTCCTACTCCCAACAAAATGAGGAGCAGGATAAGAGTTCCCAACATGCAAAAAGAACCCAAGTACCATGCAAAGGTACGCTTCTGAAAGGTGTGCTATGACTCTGGATGTCCCCAAGGACTAAATACAGAATGACATAATTCCTATATTGTGCCTGGTGATGTTTCCCAGATCTGGCTGGCAATGATTTCAAAATTTTTAATTAGTATAAAATACAAAATAAAAAGTATGGCTCACTGGACAAATTCTAAACGGGTCTATACTCAAATTTTAAATTTAATTTATACTTCAAAGATGTCAGATTTTTAAGATTATTATCTAGCACATAAATGTGAAGGCTGTAAAACCTATCTACTCCATTTCTGTGCAGGGTAGGGCAGAGAACAAACCATAAAGATTAAAACGATGAGATAACTACTAATGATGTGATCTTTTATCTGCTCTCTAAAAGGTAGTATAAAAATTGTTTCCTTCGTTTCCTTATCAAGTAGACTGCCATTCATGGTAATGGAAACTAGAATGCAGCTGGTTCCTATCTCTGTCCCTGTTTCTAAAAATATGGATGTCTGATTTTGATCAGTGAAATTGCATGTAAGAGATAGAAGAAAAGTTTATACAAAAGCAGGATCCAGATTCTACACAAAAAGAGTAATTCATATGCAAAATCTCTTCACTGCAAGCATAAATGTCAGCATCATTAGTATATAAGCTGTCCTAAAAGTCTTAGTACAATTGTAAGCTTTAATAACCTCAGAAGTACAGAGACGACAAAGTGACTAAATGCACTACTTGAAAGTTTGCTTATTTACTTAACTATCCTTTCTTTGAAAGGCGTTTGCTATGCTGCCTAAGCTCATTTTGAACTTGGGGGCTAAGGCAATGTTCTTGTCTCAGCCTCTCGAGACAAGCTGGGACTACAGGCATGTGTTGTCACATCTGACTAGTATGTAAATGTTTTTGATATTTAGATTCCATGAATTCTGAGGAATACATTTCTTTATCACAGATTACCTGGGCCATATGTTGCACTCTATTCGTGGTCATGAATAAAGCAAAGCTCTCCCCGTGGGAGGCAACATCCTTTTGTACTTAAGTTTCCTGCACCACTAATGTCAATGTTACCAGGGTTTTCACAGGCACTCACAGAAACAAGTCTTCCAGTTACCATTGCCCCAGATGGCTGAGGCTGTGCCCCTCAGAGGAATAAATGCCTGCACAAGGAGTGAGGACCACTGCTAAGTACTACACCTTCTCTTTCTTTCTTATTTGTGTGAACTTGTTTTACAGCCTCCAGCAGTCAGCCTAAGACAATACAAAAATATATCTCAACCAGGTATAGGCACATGCCTATAATCCCAGCTACTCAGGGGGCTTAGGCAGGAGCTTTTCAAGTATGGGGCAAGCCTGGGTCATTCAATGAGACCGTGTCATTTTATTTATTGTCATAAAATAAAATAAAAATAAATAAAATAAAATAAAATGGAATGGGGATGTAGCTCAGAGCTTACTGAGTTCAATCCCCAGTACTGGAAAAAGATAATAAAAACAACTCATACATTATTTATTCATTTACTCATTTGTTTTGTTGTCCTGAGGATTAAATCCAGGGCCTCTACCACTCAGTTACAGTCCAGCCGCTCTCCCTGCATTTTTTAGCTTGGCAAAAGGCTGTAATCTTTTACTTAACTTGGATACCTGGTGAGTAACTGAGTTAGCAACCTATTTATAGTCATGTGCCTCTATTCAAACACACTTTACCATAAAAGCAATATGCAGTTCACATTAAGTATAGAGCTTCACGTGTTAGCTTGACAAGTGTCCTCTTGACAAGCTTCGGACACTGCTCTTTACAATCACCTAAATACCTGGAAAGGCAATGTACCAAAGTTAGCACACTGAGCTACCTAGTATACAGGGAAGAGGACAAAAGGAGACTGTGGGGCTGAAAACAGCTAGCACAACCTAAAAGGCATCTGATCCAAGATGAAATGGCACAGATCAAAAAGTCTAACAAACAAGAACAACGAGAGATTTCTTGGTCAACTGGAAATACGGGTTATCTTACACAAAATGGTAACAGAGATTTGGAAAGAAGGAAGCATCAATCCTTATACCTTATAAGTGGCTTAGCTATTTCTTCTAGTTAAAGGGTATCATCCTTTTTTAAAGTGAGTGCTTTATTGAGTTTTTTTTTAAAATAAGACTCTCAGCTGTGAAACTTACAGAACAAAAAAATTCTAAAAGGCATTACGTAACTTTGTCTAGAACACGGGTACTCACAAAGTTGATTACAGCATCCTGGAATATCTTACAATATTCCCTGGTCACTGCTACAAACCCCTCTGATGTCACCCAGACAGCATCCAAGCAGTCAACTTCAGGTGTAAGGAAAGTGCTGAAGGTTCTTAAGTTAGAGACCTAGCCTAGGATGGGGGTAAGACTAAGTTCTGTGATGGGACCATAAGAATCAGCAAGTGTTACTATAAAAATGCAACCTTAGTGAGCACTGTGATGGAATACCCCAACATTTTGTAAAACATTTTATACAACGGATCATGCAGTTAAGAGAGTACCATGCTGGTCTTCTCTGCTAAGTCAAAAGTAGGTAATTCAAAATGCAAGCTGAGCAGCCACAGTCGATGTCCATTACCCCAGCACCCAGAGACTGTTTCTCACAGCAGCCTGCTGCAGCTAACACTGCAGCATCCCATCTCCCCAAGAGGCTGACCTAACAGGAGCTGGAAATGAAAAGGAAGGTACCAAAAGGATATGCACGCTTCCAAAGGAAGCATTCATGGCTTTTCCATGATCTTGGTTGTTCAAAACTATCTATACCTCTCTCCAGAATGCCCCTCTATGAGAATATGGAGAAAAAACGGAATGCATTCTAAATTATCTCAATTATTTCAATGATGTTCTTTTTCAACCCTAATATACTTTTGATTTCATTTCACTTTTTACCATGAATTGAGATCAGACAGCTGTGCTGCATCCGGAGAGAGCATGTTGGTGGTGCCTTGAAAGAGTCTCTTGGGCTGACTTTCGGTCTCCATCTCGCCTGTATCAGAAAAAGATGATACTACTGTGAAATGATTTTACAAATGCAGGATTTGTGCCGAAATGGGATGATCTTTGCTTAACTAAAGTTCACACTACTTCTTCAAGTCATTACTTAAGAAACTATTTTTCCATGTGTCTTAATATAAAAAATATACTTCCACATACCTCATTCAAGAAACTTAGCAGTCTTAAAAAACCTTCTCATTTAGTATATATAGCATGTTATATATACACATTCTTTAATAGAACAGTATAATGCTGATTACAAGTAAAATAAAGATAGCCAACAGTAAAAATAAAGTATTCCCAAATAGTTGAAGCTCACAGTGAATATTTTGTGCTTGATGGTTAGCAAAGATTATTTATTTTATATACTTTAACATCTGATCATTTCCTGAGATAACATCAAGTGAGTTAAAAATGTGCTGTCTGGCCAGGCGTGGTGGCGCACATCTGTAATCCCTGCACTCGGGAGGCTAAGGCAGGAGGATCTCCCGCAAGTTCAAGGCCAGCCTGGGCTACATAGTGAGTTCAAGGCCAGCCTGAACTACATAGTAAAACCTTATCTCAAAAAAGACAAAAAGAAGTGCTGTGTGGTAAACAGTGTATAACTAAAAGGTTTGTTACTAAAAATGATGATTAAAAATATAAGTGTGAAAGCACAACTACAACTGAAATCAATTATTATTCAATTAACAAGCTTGGTATTGTACTGGCTAACTCAATCCTATAGATTTTTCTCAGAGCTAATAATAGTAAAACTTGGCACCAAAAGGAATAATGTTAAACATTTTACCATCAGAAAGTTGTCTAACTAACAACCCTAAGTTAGAAGCCTCTTTCCAAGTAAGCAATATTTTTATTTAAAACATGCACATTCCTTGGTTTGGAAACTCTATTTGCACTTGAAAACAGAGTACTCCAAGAAGAAATTGACAGCTGAGCTTAGAACTGTACAAGGTTCTTATGACAGGAAAAGATCAAATAAGAACAAATACAACTTTCATTTACTCCATATCACTAATTAATTAAGTAGTACTCTTTACTCTGAAGCTATTCTAGGAACTGCTGAAATTCAGAAAAAGTTATACATGTATTTCCTTTTCCCCAGGCTTTAATAAATATGCAGCTTTAAAAATATACTGAGGTTTCAACTCCACCTCACTAGCAAGACTTCAGCTTTTTTAAACAAAGAATCTCTCCATCTGCTGGTGTATTTTGGAATAGCTATGAAACTAAACACCCGAACTATTTCCATTAATTTCCTTCAACAAATATCAAGGTGATAACAATAATAACTTTATTTCCAAGAGTTATTTTCACTTACTTGCTCCCAGAACATGCTTAAGATAGTAAATAACTCCTTGGAAGATTAAATAAAGATTCTTTATAATGTAAACACATTCCTAAATATGAACCTTGTCACTATATTAGGATCTATTTTCCAGATCACATCACCTTTAATTTTAAATTGCCTAAAATATAGTACTTTTTAAGTCTGTGTGTGACCATGTCACTGCAAAATTTCACCAAAGCCAACAAATATCCATCCATTCTCCTAATATTAGGAGAGTTCATTTGTTTATTGGCCCTGAAGATGATCTGTAGAAAGAAACCACTTCAGGGCTGGTTTTTAAAAGTCACTGTAAAACTCTTGTTTAATTAACATCTGAATCTTATAATCATATAGTTCTAGCCTGAAGAACAATGACTAAACCAATTTTATTTTATGCCATCTGGCCCATTCTCTAAGCATCTGAGCCAGGCGTGGTGGCACACAACTGTAATCCCAGCACTCGGGAGGCTGAGGCAGGAGGATTGCTGCAAGTTTGGGGCCAGCCTGGGCTACAAAGTGAGTTGAAGGCCAGCCTCAACTGCATAGTGAGACCTGGTCTCAGAAGGAACAAAAATAAAAATAAAAAATATACGTATAATTATCTGAAACTGCACTGACTGGGACTTTAATCCTTTTTAGCACAAAGTAAGGTAATTAAAAAAGCACCCTGTTGGGGCTGGGGATTTAGCTCAGTGGCAAAAGCGCCTGCCTGGCAAGCGCAAGGTTGTGAGTTTGGTTCCCGGTACCGGAGAAAAACCAAAAAAAAAAAGCACCCTGTTATACCAAAACTATAGATATGAGTAATGTGTTTAGGCATAATTTGGTGATGGGGGTAATCTCATCTTATATTTGAACATACAGTATGTTTACAGATATATTTACTATGACATTATTATATATTTCTGTAACAAAACAACGATGTATCATTTTTTACATTCAGATCAGTGAGAGGCAATGGTTTTGGAACATATACTGATAATATGGATATGATCCAGATGTAAGGTATAAAAAATAGAGGCAGTAGCAGGCAGCTAGTTTACAAAATTTAGAACAGCATGACATATGTTGGGAGCTTGGACAGCAGCTCCTCCAACCTCAGGGAGCCATTTCTACTCCCCAAGTGGAGGTCGATTTCCCATTGGCCCAGAGAAAGTCCCTGAATTAAGATGCAGGAAGTGAGAGAAAGAGAGCTGCCTGCAAGGGGGGAGGCCGGTTCTGTCACTGGAGATGAGCCCACCAGACCCCAGGCCCAAGTTTGTCTTCGCTATAGACACCTTGTGGCCTGCAGTTCTGGCGTGGAGAACCCTCACGGCGTGTGGGCTGTGATGCGCGCGGTGCTGTGCCCTGGTGCTGTGGCACACATGGGCACTAGAGCACTGGGAGCAGGAATGAGCAGAAGCCAAAGAGCTGCTGCAGGGGCGTGAGCAGGAGGAGCAGGAGGAGCAGGAGGAGGAGGAAGAGGAAGAGGAAGAAGAGGAAGAAACCACTGGCAGAGGCCCTGCCCCAGAGCCTCCAAGCCGCAAGCCCCAGTGGGCTCATGACAATGCTGGGAAAGCACCTTGTTTCCCGAGAGGAGCTGTGAGTGGTTGAGACTCCATCTTGGGAGTGTGGCCACCTGGCTTGGAAAAGGAACCCCAAGAAGTTTCCACGTGATGTCCCCACCAAACTTCACGTGGATCCCTGAGAAGTCACCAGCAAACATGAGCTCACCGTCCCTGGGCTCTCCCTGGACTCAGGTGCTCACCAAGACCAGGAGTGGGGCCTGGCCCCAGCTGAAGAACCTGCAGCTCTAGGACAGACAGAGGACATTGTGCCTCCCTGAAAAGCAATGGCAGGGCTGTAGGCTGATTGCTTTCAATGAGGGTAAGGGCACTAGTTGTGTCCTCCCTCCCTACCTGTGCAATAAAGGACATGAAGACCCCTGGGTCCCTGGCTGGGAAAAAAGAAAACAAAACTTATGTTGGGAATACTTCACATTTCTTTAGAAACATTAGAAAAAAAAATGATACAAGCTCATTTCCAATAGAAATCGTAGTTTTTAATTTAAGTTTCACTAGGTTTAACACCAGAAGGGTGATGCACTTTACCTTTATTGAGGTAAAACTGACAACACTGTGTATATTTAAGGAGTATGTGATTCGGTGCACATATATTTTCAAAATGCATATTAAAAAATGATGATTGCAATCAAGTTAATTAACACATCTAATATTTCATTTACCTCTTTTTTGTGCTAAGAACACTTAAAATCTACTCTCCTAGCAGGTCTCAAGAACACCGTATTACCCACCAGCCACCACGCTGCTCCATACCTTTTCTTTTAAGAGGACCAAGAACGCTGGGTCTAATGCATTTTACTGGACTCTGATATCTCCGGCTTTAGGGAATAAACAAATAGAATGATGTGAAATACTTCCAAGATGCATGATAACCAGGCCACCAAATAAATACATAAATCAATGAACGAATAAAATTTATGCTCATACAAGCAGAAATAGGAAGTGTTTGTGTAATATGCTAAGGAACTGGAACGCTGATACGCGATTTGATCAAGCAGATGGCAATTTGGAATAACATGGCATTTTAAGCCATTTAAAAAATCATTCTAAAGCCGGGCGTGGTGGCACATGCCTGTAATCTCAGCACTTGGGAGGCTGAGGCAAGAGGATTCCTGTGAGTTTGAGGCCAGCCTGGGCTACACAGCAAGTTCAAGGCCAGCCTGAACTGTGTAGTGAGATACTGTCTCAAATAATGAAGAAAAAAAAGAAAGAAAAAATCATTCTGTAAGACAAAATAATACCATGAACAGTTTAAAGGAAAAGATACCTTATAAAAAGTAATTTGGGGCCAGGGATATATCTCAGTGGTACAGTGCCTGCATGGCAAGTGCACGGTCCTGCATTCGATTTCCAGTATCAAAAAAATTATTTGGATTTCAAGCTATCTATAATCTTAAAATATATTTTTCCTTACAAAGGGTATATTATGGGGTGTGTGTGCATGTGTGTTCCCTCTCAATATAAATCAGGACAAAGTTTCAAAAAATCAGACTCTAATACTATGTTAGTGAGAAAATATAGTCAGTGGGCATACAGAGTCTGCCAAAAAAAATGTATACACACTTCAGCACTTCACCATACTAATAAATGTCTGGCAGCTAATGGTCACTGCTTTGAGTACCTTTTGTAATTGCAGCGGCCACAGTTAACTTCTATTAATCTCACAATGGTTCAATAAATTTTGTATTAAAATACTTATACAAGTTTTCCTTTTCCTGATATATACATTACATTGGTGGACTCTAGATAGATGTTCACTGTGAAATCCTTTCAATTTTGCTGCATGTTTGAAAATTTCTATAACAAAATATTGGGAAAAACTGATTTGAGATAAATGTAACGAGGGGCACTCTAATCACTTTTAAAATTCAAGTTTGCACTGGGGATACTGCTCAGTGGCACAGCGCCTGCCTAGCAGGGGTGAGGTCCGGAGTTCGATCCCTGGTACCGAAAAAAAAATTCAACTTCACTTACTTTGAAAATCGTCTTGGAGTACCAAACGGACTTGATGGCAATCCACTGCTACTCACAAACATTTGTAAGGATGGTGAAAAGCATTGCTAGAAAAAATACATTTAATATTAAAATAGTGCTTGTACTCTGGTTTTCAAAGGATTCTTCTAACGGAGATTTTTATTCAAGTTGCTGTATGCTTTAAAAGTGAGGTGTTGTGTGGATAAAACGTTTTAGACACTAAACTGCTCAGTGTATAAAGAGACAGTTAATACATCATCAATGATCCTACCTTTCCAAATCCTCTGGTTGGTGAAGGCGCTGGAGAAACTGGAGTGAAGTCAATTCTCTTAGGAGAATATAATTTCTCCGGCTTGTCAAAATCACTATCACTCTGTAAACATAAAGTGTCATTTACTCATAACTATTCAGAACACAGTGGCTCGTACTTTCACAACACACCGACATTTTATGAGTAGATATGTATCTATTTTAATATTCTGCTGGAAAAGCAGAGATCAAAAATAAGAATTAATTTGGAAGCATATAGGAAGGAAACAAAACAGTTAACAAAGCTAGTGAATGACAAAGATTTCTAGAAGATAAAAAATAAGCAGACATGGGAAAACGTTACCAGGCTCAAGCTTTCATCCCAAGATTGGCTTATCTGCATTGCCGTTTGCACTTCCCTAAATAAGCAAAAGGAAAGGCCATCAGTGTTTACAAATAAGATATACGAGGCTAGGCCCTGCTGTCTCGAAGCACTAACCTTTCATGCGCAGTTTCTCTATTCATTATATCCAAGCCTTCTTCCTATAAGGACAAACATATGGGCTAATAAATTATTTGTCATCCACACAGTTTGCTGTTCCAAATAAAATTATAAGGTTTTTTTTTAACCTTATTTGGCATAATGACAGGTGAGCAGAGCTAACATTCTAAGAATGTCAACAATGGCACATCTGTATTTTATCTGCACACTCCCAATAATTTTATTGTGCAGCCAACTAACCTGAGTGGCACTGTGACTCCTTTTAATATCTAAATCTTCAAAGTCACAATAAAAATGTAAAATCCAAAAATTTCAGATCTGAGCTAGTAAGTAGAATTTACCCTTTTGATTTGATGCAGTCTGCTACTAGGGATACGATTAGTTGAAGATGGCAGCAACTGGAAAGAAAAAGTAAACATTTACTATTTTCTGAATCACAAAGCAGCAGTCTGCAGTCAGTACTGGTGTACGACCTCTTGCTAGATAATTTTTCATATTCTTCTTAGAAATTTAGTGCTTTAAATCCCTGAACATTAATGCACTAGAGGCAGTACATTCAGTCTTTAGAAAGTACACCAGGTGTCCAACCTCAAAGCACCATCTGTCGCTAGAGAGGCACTGACTTTAGCACTTTTCCCAAATGAATGCAGAGCTGTGTAAATTTGGGGGGAAAAGGACTCTGGGCCTTGGAAATATCCATTACCCCACTTATCTAAAATAAGGAACTAGATGAGAAGGGAAAGAAAAAACACCAGTGTTACAAATTTTATTACCAATGTACCCAACAGAAGGCAGGCTAACAAGCCCAGTATAATATTACCTATGGAGTATATTCTCGGAAACACTCTAAAACTGAAATAAGGAGGTTTTCTTTCCATAATCTAAATGAACTCTAAGATTTGATCACAAATACTATCACCATAATCCCTTCTAAAGAAAAATTAACATGCAAGTTGTAACTGTTGTTTTCCATTACATCATCCTTTTCTTAACAACACAAAACTGAAATGATTTTGGGGTCAAATTCCTATTCCTTCAAAAAAATCAGAGTTCATAATCAATAGCCCTTAAAGGGTATAACTGTCATAATATAAACAACTACTGCAAATAAGCTGTAATACCACAAACCAAATGAGACAATTACCCTGCTTAAGAGGCCCTATGCTATTAAAACTTTTTGAATACTAATGTAGTAAGCAGTATTTATTTAGTGATGGTGGTAGTGCTGGGGATTGAACCCTGTGCTTTTGCACCAAGCTACATCTCTAGCCCCTTTTTAATTTTTACTTTCGTCTAGGCCTGGTGGTGCACACCTGTAATCCTAGCACTTGGGAGGCTGAGGCAGGAGGACTGCCAAGAATTCGAGGCCAGCCTGGACTATGATTTTTTATTTTGAGACAAAGTCTTGCTAAGTCCCTCCGACCGGGCTCAAATGTGTAATCCTCTTGCCTCATCCTCTCAGAGTACTGGGAGTACAAGTGTGTGCCACCACACCTGGCTTAACATTTTCTTTTAGGCAAAAGCTAAGTCAGGTAAAATTGTCAAAAATTTTGAAACATCATTTTACCTTAAAAATATTCCTTCACTATGTACTCCTTTTACTTTTTTTTCTCCAAGGTTTTCAAAAGAGAAAAAACCTTTACCAGAAAAATCTTTTTTAAGGTTTGTTTTCCATTATGAAAATAATATGTATTTACGGGTGAACTCTCAATACGGCCATTTGAAAAACACTAATCTATCAAGCAAGCAGAAAAGGTAGAGAGTTTGTCTAACAAACAGGGTGACAGGGAAGATATCATGCATGTGTCAGTCAGAGAACCAAAGAAACCCAAAAGGCAGTGAAATTAGGAAAACCGAAGTGAGGATGGCTACAGACTGTGGAGAAAGTCAGATATTTAGATGTTATGCTTACATAATATACAAACTTGTCAATTTTAGACAAAACTAGACAAGTGGCCCAGACAGAGGGATGCAGAACAGCAAAGCTGTGTCCAGAACCAGAAATGAGAGTAATGTATCAGCTAAACAAAGAAGCCAGGAGCCTCAACAAAATGTTGCTAACGTTGTCAAGTAAAACAGAGCTCAAATGGGATAAGAAATGAGCCCCCTGGCATTGGCAATTAAGTGGACATGAGTGACATTTTCAAGGATAGTTTTTTAATGGAATTGTGAGGTTACAAATTGGCAAGAAATTAGGAGACAAAGAATCAGAGGCAGATGAGTGTTGATCGTACTTTGACAAAGCTTGGGGAAAGGAAGGGAAGGGAAGGAGAAACCTATGAGAAAGGAAACAGTTTGTTTTCCCTGCATCAGATGGGTGAGTCAGGAGAAGACGGTGGGAGGACAAGCGCCAGAGAGGGAGAGACACAGACAGAGCAAAGTGACAGGACAGTCAGAAACACATGAAGCATCAGGGAGTGGTGCTGTATGTGAAGGCGGAGACATTTTAAGGAGAAGAAAGCTGATGTTTATATAAGACAAGTGTCTATGTTCTGTGTGCAGCGAGTAGGCTCACGGGCTGGCAGTGAGAAGTGGGGAGCAGGGAAACTGGCAGAGTCAAACAAAAAACAATGATTCAGAATACGGCTTCGGACAACAGCACAAAACTAGTGGCACCTTAAACCCCACTTTCCCCTAAGAAGTCACCTTCTTTTCCCCCAAACTACCAGTCCTCTTGATTTCTCTAGTACTAATCAAGGCACCCTTTCCCTGGTCACCAAGAAACACAATTTCAATCAATTCAGAGTTCTCCCTCTCCCTGCACTAACGTCTAACCAGCTGGTAAATCATGAAGATACTACTTCTCCCTGTCTCTTGTACCTTCCCCTCCTTTCTATTTTATTTGCGAACCCTTGACTCTGCAGTTTACTATAAGACACCGCTAAGAACACTGTGATTTATAGAGAGCACTCCGACAACGTATAGGCAGTGTCACTATTATCATAACAGTGGAAACCTGTACAAAGGAGATATAAGGATTAAACTGGGTCTCAAAGGATCAGAAATCTAGACAGAAAGACAACAGGATGGGGGTGAAGGGTAGCATAAGGATCATCAAGAGCAGTGAATCACCATAGCCCCTTCAGAAAATGAGGTATTTGTCAGGGAGTAACGAGACAAACCTAGACTGGAGGTGGTAAGAATCTTCACGTTTTACAAAGGTAACTGGAGTGTAGAGAGGCAAATTCATTTTTTTCTCTTTTTTGCTATGCAGGGTCACAGGGTCACAGCCGTGTAAAATGCAAAAACATCTTTCATACAGCTAGCAAAAATAAGTGGTTATATTTTCCAGTATGCCAAAGGAAGGAGGTGAAGCAAAGCAAACCTCTAGATAGCTAGCCCCTTTAAGTATTTTTAGTCATTTTGGCTGGAAATCTTTTAAAAATGTGTTACATTTTCCCTTCTCAAACAGATTATACCAAACAGAATAGCACTGGAAGACCTCTATTCTACCACTTAGTACTGTGTGATTCTGAGCAAACCATTTATGTTGTCTGAGTCTTAGCTGGTCCTATTTTTAATTAGGAAAAATACTTTTTGCTCTGCCTATTTCATCAGGGTTGTTATCAAAATTAAACATGTAACAGTGCTCTGTACCATGCAAAATACCATTAGGTATTACTGGAATTTCAGAAAAGGTTAATGCTTAAAAATGTTATTATAAGGTTCCATTCTAGTGACACACTCAGGGGCTATCAATAGCTTCTTGGCTGCAAACTGATTTTTAAGGAACCTGTTTTTCAGTTTTACCCTGTCCTCTTTTGTTAGCAGCTACCAGTAAACCTTTAAGCCAAATATACCTCATCTGATTTGCTGTTTCTCACATACGACTTGGTTGGGAGCTTATTACAATTGTGCATAAATTTTAGATGACTCAGAGGTCGGAGAGGCACTCCTATAAATAAACTGATGAACGTTTGTGCATAGACTATGGAAATCTAGTTCAGCCATTTAGAGGTCCTTGTGCTTACATCGCAGACGACTTCCAGAGCACCGTAGCTGCTGGATGCGCGAGCTCTGCATGTGAAGTGCTACTACACAAAAACCTTTGTAATTTCTCTAAAGCAACCATTTAATAAGGTAATCTGCAACATCTTTAGCTATCAACAACAGTCACAATCAGCAGCTCTTCTAAGAACAGAAATAAAAGCACTTTAAAGGACTCTTTCGAAAATCATCATCATCTGACAGATGAACTTCAGAAACAACGATTTTGCTACTGTTTAAGTGATGCTTACATCCTAGGACAAGTGAAAACCACTCTCTACAGGTAGTGTTAGAAGTCACAATCCTGATTTACCTTACAAATATGAGAAAAGTAGTAATCAATAACAATGACCAATTTTTAAAATACCAAGTCCTACAGCAAAGAAAAATAAAATTTTTAGTCTCCTTTTGTAACAAAAGCTGAATGGCCACAGCAAAACTAGTCAACAAGGCAGGTAATAGCTTCTATTTTTAAAATTATGGTGTACCACATAATTTTGAAGTAGACCGCATTTTCAAGTATTTTCTCCGATCTAAATCACTTTGGATATTTACTTACCAAACTGCGACTGTTCATAATTGTTGTACTATTCCTCCGAGTTTGCAACGTGTAAGGTTGAAAAACCTGTGAAAGGTCGCTGGAAAATCAAAGTAAAATGATTAATGTCTTCTACACGAAAATATCTTTCAGGTGTATTAGCATCAATTTTGTACATAAGAATAAAATCTTGGATGCCTACTTTCCAACAAAGAAAAACCCCTCACTGTCCTCTCGGCTCTTGGTGGAACTGTGGACTCACAACTGTGCTGCGATCTGGAGTTGGCCAAGCACTGATCTGCTCAGGGGTCCGGGAGACCGCTTAGAGGTGTAAGGCGGGGCCTCAAACTGGCTCAACCCGGCTGCTTCCGGTCAAAGCCACGCCCCCAAACCAGAGCTGCCTATCTGTCTATCTCACAGAACCCCAGTTATGACGGTGTTCTGCACGTGCTTTCCTTCACTTGTTCAAGGGGAGAAGCCACTACCTAAACATGCGCTGTACCTCTGAATGCAACTTAAATGAATAAACTTAACTGAGATTTTTTTTCCAGCTCAAGTTGCCCCTTGTGCCTCGAATGCCCTCCCTCCTATTATCTGTAGAGATCCTTTCCTTCCACACCCACCTCAAACACCATGGCCTGCACGGAGGCACTCCACAAACCTCTACTCATTCCACAAACCTAATGCAATCATTCCCTCCTTTTTTGTTTGTTTTTTGAGGCAGGGTCTTGCTATGTAGCTCAGGCTGACCTGGAACTCAATATGTAGCCTAGGATGCCCTTTTTTTTTTCAGTACCAGAAATCAAACTGAGAACCATGTGCTTGCCAGGCAGGCACTCATGCAGCTGAGCTATATCCCCGGCCCTAGGCTGCCCTTGAACTTGTGGCGATCCTCCTGCCTCAGCCTCCCGAGTGCTGTCATTTCCTCCTTTGAACCCCAAGAACACACTGGGAGATGGCACGCTTCTTGAAACATCTATTTTCTTTTTGTTTTGAGGCAGGGTCTCAGCATATTGCCCAGGCTGCTCTTGGGCCCCACTGTCAAACTCTCACCACCATGCCCAGTTAAAAAATACCGTCTTAATGGTGCTGGGGGTCAAACCCAGGGCTTTACATATGTTAAGCTCACTCTATCACTAAACTATTCTCACAGCCCTGCTTTCTTGTTTTTGTTCTTTTGTAGTGCTGGGGGGAACCCAGGGCCTCACATAGTCTAAGAATGGGTTCTACTACTAAGCTATACCACCCAGCCCGAACTTTACCTTTTATTAAAGAAAAAGTATTCCTCAGCAAGAAAAAAAAAAAGTGCATGTGTCTTAAACCTCTTGGTACAAAGATGCTTTATTCATTTTTATCAAATGTCCCTGCAGTGCCTAGTAGAGTCTGTGTCAGTAACAGGTAAACAATAGCTCAGTGGCCCAGTGCTTGCCTAGCATGCACAAAGCCTAGGGTTCCATTCCCAACATCAAAAGAGAGAGCTGAAGGATTTTCAGAATGGAATTGGATTGGGCTCCAAAGGACCACTGAGATTGTATACTTCAGGTCCCCTAATGTTTAAATGGGAAAACAGATTCAGAAAACTTCAATGACTCATTCATGAGCACAGCTAGTGAGTAAAAATTGGGATCAGGCTTAGAGATGTGCCTTATCCTTCTTCTGTCATACCATAGTACCTTTCAAATAATTACTTACATTGTGATGCACAAAGCAGTACTATATTTTTTTTACAGTTATCTAAATGCAAGTCAGTAGGACCATCCAAGTCCCTAGCAATTGTTTGCTTATCACAGTGTAAAAGGAGAGAGAAGAAGTTGTTCTTAAAGTATATTAAAAATGTAGGGCCAAGGATAGCATCAGAAAAACAAAAGCCACTCCATCACCCCTCAGCTTTAAAATTGTATTTAATGAAAAAAAAGGGTAAACTTGTTATTGTCACCAAAATGAAGATGTTATAGTCAGTTCATAAGATACAAATTATCTTTCTATGCCTTCACTGTGCTTGATTAATATAGTTTTGGTTAATTGTACTCCCATCTCCTTTTATGGACTAATGTCATTTTTGAAGGGTCTTGCAAATTGGCTCTCTACCTAAGATGAATTGTCTACTTCTAAAAGTGAAATGTAATGGCTTAGTAGGTTAGCCAATCTAACTTTTTCACTCTCACAAGATCCTACTTTTAAATAGACTCTCTGGTGTCTTATTCACATGAAAACATGAAACTCTGCCACAAGTTAAAGGGTCAGTTCTTTCTATTGTTGTGTCAAACCTGTGTTTCCACTAACCAAAGCTACATGCCACCTTTCCTTTTTTGTTCACTGAAATACACGTCTGGCAGATTTAGAATCTGAAAACATTTGGGCAAATACAGCTCAATGTGACATGAACACACCATTCAATTACAAGTTATTAGATAAACTGTTATTTATTAAAGCAAACCTCTGCTAATGCCAGGGTTCTAAATTCAGCTTAAACATAGCAGCTCTTAAAGCCAAGTGTCAAGTTGCAAGCCTAGTTCCAGGGGCTTCAGTCTGACATTCATTCCCTCGTGTAAATTAGATACAGGAAGCAACCTGTCAGAAGGGCCAGAAGCTGTCTGCAGTTCCTTTTAGAGTGGGACAACATGGTCCCCAGGTGTGGGGGGTGGTGTTTCTCCCATATGGAGCAGAGTCTGAGGTCAAACTTTTACTCCCCCTTGGGACCCAAGTCATTGTCCAGCAAACAAGTCTCCAACCCCCTTGGTTTGAAAAGCTGAAACCCACACCGAAAAGGAAGACAGCTTGCACAGGGTCACGAAGCCTCTGGACCCCATACTCCATCCTCCCCAGGCCTGCTCACCTGAGCCCATGGATCAGGGGAGCGCTGTTGGATCTTCTCAGGGTGGCCGCATGAGATATGTCAGGCTCAAAGTCCAGCTCCATTTTCTCCTGAGCCATGTCGGAGACTTTCAGGCAGGCACAGCGGGCAGTACTCTGCTCCTGGTGCTTAGCTATGGGCTTCCAAGACTCACTGCAGGACTGAGGTTCTGGGGACTGGCAGCTGGGGGCGGGGGCTAAGGGGCGGAGGCTTGGGGGTGGAGAAACTAGGGGAGGAGGAGGAGGAGGAGAAGGAGGGGCAGGGTAGGAAGCTGATGAGGAAGAGAGAGGACGGTGGTGAGAAAGGGGAGACGGATGGAGATTGTGTTGGACGGCGACAGAATGAAGAAAGGTAGTACAGGAAAGACGGATGGCGGGAGGAGGGAAAAGAAGAAGGGGGGTGGAAAGAGGATCGATGGAGAGGTAGGGCAGAGGTAAGGGAAAGGAGGAAAGACGGTAGGGAAATAGCACAGGACGGGAAGGAAGGAGGAGGTATGGGGAAGAGAGGAAGGCCAGCGGGAGAAGAGGAAGACGGGGAGGAAACTAGGCAATGGTGGAACTCATGCCTCTGTCTTTCCCGCCGAGCGCCACCGGCGGGGACCGGCTATAGATGCCGCGGCTCCCTGGGCAGCGTTAGCAACCAGGACCCTACAGTCGGGCAGGGCCCGGCTGGGAGGTCTCGGCGGATCCAGCTCCCCATACTCGGGGACTTTGTCCAGCCCCCCATGCTCCGGGATCCGGTCCGGAGACTCCTCAGCCCTGGGATCGGGGCTTCTCCCGACCCTGCCCCCTCCCGCCTTGAGGACTGGTGGAAGGATTCGTCCCCTCTGCCGCCACCGGTGCCTCCTCTTCCTCTCAGGTTCTAATGGCCGGGGAACCCGTAAGGGCCAAGATCAAAATCTACAACCTGCCAGCTCTTCAGCCTCCCACGCTTCGGAAGCGGGAGCCTCGGCGGGGCCAGTTCTTCCGCGTCCGGCTACCCATCGAACCTGCGCACGCGGGGGGAGCCCGTTTCTAGGGGAGGGGGCGCGAGCATACGGAGCATGCGCGGAAGCCGCGCCCCTCAACCGTCGCCCACAGGGGAGGAGTGTTTCCGGGGGCGCGTGCCTTCCTCCGTGGCATTGGACCGGGGACCCTGGCGCCCTATTTCGAAAAGAGCCAATAGTTTGGAGACACTGGAGAATCGCATTCAAGATTTTGAACCAATATTCAAGGGCAATAGGAACATGGGATTTCCAAGTTTATTCCCAATTTGTAAACTCCAATCTTTGTGAATCCCACTCATTTCTTAAATTCCTCAATTTTGTTGGTCTGGGGACGGGCTGATCTCTTTTTCAATCATCCATTTGGAGATATATATATATATATATATATATATATATATATATATATGTGTGTGTGTGTGTGTGTGTGTATATATATATATACACATATATATGTATACATATTCCCAAAGATTATAGAGAGCCTCACCATGACCTGGGGAGTGTGAGAGCTGGGTTTGTTTATTTATTTACTTAACAACACCTACATAGCTTTACTATGTGTCAGACAGTATTCTAACAGGTGTGGAAATATTAATTCATTTAATGATCACCACTTAAATGGCCCTCGGGATGAAAAGGCCATTTGCACTTTCTAATATGAGGGTTTTTAAAGCACTTTTGGATGATTTTCTTTAATCTACCAGCTAGATTAGAAAAGAAAGGAACCTCTGAACACTTTATGTATCTCTTTTTATGTCAAGGTCTCAGCACACAGCTTAGTCAAAAAATCACAATAAATTCCTTTGTTCACAATAGCCAATGAGCAACCATTTGTTGATCACATGCACGGTCTTTATCTCTGAGAAGATAAACTATTTACTTGAATCCTGAACTTTCGGGAGCTTCATTTAGAAGCTCTCGGATCTGTGAGAAGAAAGATGCTACATCCATTATTTCCAGGTTTGATTCAATCATTCTTGACTACCTGGTTTTACCTAATTTTCTTTATCCTTTATGTAAATCTTTTGGGAAGTTGGGAGTATTCGTGGCCTGGGGTTCAACTTGTAATTGACTTGCTTTTGTAGTAACTAAAGTTGGAAATGTAGTGTTAAAGTTTCCAAGTCAACTGGTAAAATAAAAAAATTGCTTGGTAGAGAGGCCTTGGGAAGATGGCAGCAGACTAGGACATACAAAGAAAGCAGTAGCATGTTCTAAGGTATACATTTAAACATACCAGTGGTCTGAGATTGTGGCCTATTTCTATGCAATACGAAGAGCTGATCATGAAATACAGCCAGGTTGGTATAATAATGTGTAGGCAGAAATGGAGAGAAGTAAAAATAATATCTTTACATGTAGTGTTTGCCATGTAATCTACAGAATTCTTTTTGCTTCCGTAGTACATGTTCCTTTTGATATTCTAACCTGTGTATGTTCTATGAATGCCATTTAAGATTTTAGGTTCCTTATGTGTAGCTGTCCACCAGACAAAGAAAATTATCTCTCTTTCATACTAGGTGGAGCCATATTACCATCATATATATAATTTTATATTACTACACTGCCCCACTTTCTAGAAACATAGTCCAATAGTTGCTATTCCCTTGTTATTTTATTATATCTACTCTATTTTCTTAGTGTTATTTATACTTAGTTGTCTAAAAAATTAGATTTCTGTAATGCATAAGCATATAAAACTTTGTCTATTCATTCAATATATAGTCACTAAACGTTACTGCTTGCCAAGAACATTAATAAATATTAAAATAGAGGAAATACTATTTCCTCTGAATAGTAAGATGAACAGTACAACAGAGGTAAGAAGTATTTGTTTACAGGAATACTCCAGTATGTTATTGAGATAGTCTGGTTTTGACCCTCTGTTCTGTCTTAACATTCACTTGACTTTACTCAGTTATTTTTCTTTCTCTTTTTGAGATAGGGTCTCACTTTACAGTTCAGGCTGGCCTCAAACTCACTTTGTAGTACAGGCTGGCCTGGAACTTGAAGTGATCCTCCTGCCTCAGCCTCCTGAGTGCTGGGATTATAGGTGTGTGCCATCGTGCCTGGCTCTTTCCTCAGTTTTAATGACCATCTTTTGTAAAATTTTCAGGTACTCTTAAGAATTTTAACAATGGCTTTCAAATTTTGGTACTAGCCTAGATTCTGCTGCTACCTAATTATGTGCCATTGATATCTTTGGAATTTTACGAGCTATAAAATTGAAATGGTTTATTCTCTTTATAAGACAGTTACGAAGGATAAATTTGCATTCATCTTACAATAATAAATATGTATCCAGAGCTTGTGAGTACAGAAATAGTGTACAGGAAAATATTTGGAGGCACTTCATCTGTCTTTTCACTTACTACACTGAAGAACAGAGGAATCTTGGCTTTGCCACTTAGTAGTTGTAATTTGGGTTACCCTTTGGTTTCCTCCTTTGAAAAATGAGCATTGTGGTGCTGCCTCCCTCACAGAATTGTTTTTTTTTCCAGTACAGGGAATTGAGCTCATGACCTTGGGCTTGCCAGGCAAGCACTTATGCCACTGAGCTATATCCGTGGCCCCAAAAGAGACTTTTTTTTGGTACCGGGAATCGAACTCAGGACCTTGTGCTTGCCAGGCAGGCACTTATGCCACTGAGCTATATCCCCGGCCCCCTCACAGAATTATTGTAAGTATTAAATGCAATCACATGTTTAAAATGATTGGGACAGCACCAGGCACATAAATGTTCAATAAATGGTAGCTGTTATTAACCTGTCATGCATCAGGACTGGAGACTCCAAATCATACTCATGTCTGGGATATAGGTAATCCAATTCTACCTAATACAATCAAGGTTTTCTTATTCTATTCCCAGGGTAAACAAAAAAAAATTAAATGATTATGATCTTACATGTCATAACTTGTCACAAATGGTCTCCAAACAATCCCATTATTTTAAGCTCACCATTGAGCAGGGTTGATGGTTGAACCAACTGAGATAAGTACCTGAAAGCATCTTGTAAACTGAAAAGTGCTATAGCAATGTTATGACTATTTTAATTAATAACCCCCCTTTCACTAGGTGCATTTACCTTCTCTGCCAATTCTCTACATGGTTCTTAAAATGTGTGGTTTTACAATATTAACATAGGGTAAGCATTTCAGTACTTGGTGTGGCTCCCTAAACAGTGATGAAAAATTCTAAGAGAGCAGTTCTTTAAATATGATGAGTCATGACAGCACTGTTAGAATGTGTTTAGCCTCTAATGCTACATGAAATAGAAACACTGATTGGGTAGATTTGGAGATATTTAGGAAAGTATGCCTCATTACTTTAGTTCAAATCTTTGTGAATTAGCTTTATTCCTTAGACGAACAGCTATGAGGAGCCAGATTTTATTCAAAGTAAAATACATACTGTACAATTATGGTTAAAAAAATGAAACTACAATGAAGACAATTTGCATAATTCTTTCAATTGGGTGTGAACCTTACCAAGATCCCAAACACTTAGGAGTGCCCCCCCCACATTGGCTTTTTATTTATTTTTGTTTTTTCAAACAAAGGTATAGTGTGTCTGTTGTCATAGAATGGACAAATTCTATGACAGGGACAGGCATGATGGTGCACGCCTGTAATCCCAGCACTCGGAAAGCTGAGGCAGGAGGATCGCTGCAAGTTTGAGGTCAGCTTGGGCTACATAGTGAGTTCAAGGCCAGCCTGAATTGCATATCGAGACCCTGTCTCAAAAAGACTCTCCCCGCCAAAAAAAAAAAAAAAGGCCGGCACGGTGGCGCAAGCCCACAATCGTAGCTCTGGGGAGGCTGAGGCAGGAGGATCGCTCCAGGTTCAAGACTAGCCTGGGGCACATGGTGAGTGCAAAGTTAGCCTGAACGATAGACCAAGAACCTGTCTGAAACAGAACAAAAGAACTAAAAAAAGTGAGAGGAAGATTCACGGTGATGACTGAGGTGGATTTCTGATTTGTATTCTAGTTTTGGAGGCCCCCAGAGCATCATGCAGATAAGTCTGGAACCAGACTTACCCAACTTTGTGCCCTTTGGTATTAGGGGTGCCAGAGTATAAAGGTGAGTGCCCCTATTCATCTAAGAGCTTTCTCCTGTCTTCTCTGTTTTCGTTTGCCTCTGCCCCTACATTATCTCCCCACCAAGACATCTTGTCCTTATGTGATCATTCTCGACAGGGACAGGGCACAAGAGAAGATGGGAGCAGACTTGGAGCTGCTGCTGAATTCCACCACCCCAGGTGGCAACACCTGGAGAAGATCCAATAGCATCCCTCTGACTAGTGGATTTGGGTGAGCAGAGTTGAGATCCAGGAGGAGTGGGCTGGGGGAAGGTGTTCTGATAGTATTTCCATCCTTTTATTTGTCGAGATTTTGCAGGTGTTGCCCATGTTCCTGGCGTGCGGAGATCCTGCCCTCCGCCTGGTGGAGATGGGGAGTGGGATGGGCTCGCCAGGCGGAGAACACTCCTTCCAGCCCAGGATGACACACACCTGACCCTGCATGTCTTCTAGCAGTCCATCTGGACCCGAAAGCAGCAAAACCAATTGGTGTGCAGCATGATTTCTTGCTAATTTCACCCCATCCCTTACCCACTCCTTTGAAGAAAATGAGCGTGCCCTGCACTCTGCCTTCAGATCTTCTGCCATGAGCAATTTTGCACACTCGAAATGGAAATGTTTAGCAATCAAATAGCCTTGGGCCTTTTATATATTTGTTTTTATGTGCACAAAAATTTTAGGTACCACAGAAACTTGATTTCGTAAATTATGTGTTCTCAATGGGTAATAGTTTCCCCTTAAGAGGAAGAAAATTGGTTGCTGATGACTTTTGAAAAAAGCTTGCTCTTTCAATATATAAAGCACAGGTACACATATGGTATATATAAACAGATACACAGTGCACATATGACATTAAAATTTGGTAAGTGGCAAGTGATTGGGGGAAAATTGTCTAAAAAAGGCTCTGTAGAAGTCAGATAATGGAAAATAATTAGAAGTTCTGCAGTAAATGAGAGGTAACTATTTCTTACACATATCTGAAGGTCTGGCATTACTAAAGCTCATTATTGCTCGAAGCTTTAACATGAAATTTTGGGGCTTGGGGTGCAGTTTATTGTTAGAACACTTAGTTAACACATGATGCCGTAGGTTAGGTCCCCATCACCATACACAGAACACAAAAAAGACCTTGGCACTGACATCCAGCTATCTTAAGGTTTTCTAAGTAGTATAAGGTTTTCTAGCTATTATAAAGAGCCTGAAAAATGCATTCACTTCATGTTATTTACTTTGTTTCTCCTTCGGGCATCATATCAATAGTTAGTTGTAATGTAAATATTTTGTAGACTATCAGCAAGAGTTAAGAAACTGATCCCCCCAACAAATCTACAAAATGACATAATGACAGAGCTACTACAAGGAACCAATGTCTCCTAGCTCCTAAAAACTAGTGTTCTGTCCACTACTGAGCAATATCTAAGCTGATTAAACTAATGCAGCTTTCAAGTCATTTGAGGCAAGGGAGAATATATTGTCACAAAATGTAAAACAAACTATGATTGACCAAAAAAAAAGAGCACATGAGCTTTTTAAAATAAGCAAATGAAAAACTAAAGGCAACTGGCATGTTGTGTGGAGCATAGTCACATTTTATAAATTCAAGATTTTGCTCTAGTCCTGCTGTGGGCCTGAAAGAATTGTTAGGGGATCCACACTGCCAGTAGAAGAGAGGAAAAAAAAGGAGAATGTTGGGAGTTTTATTCCTCTTGGGGTAAGCGTATCTGGGATCATTGAACCCCAGGGCCTTAGCACATGCTAGGAAAGTGCTCTATCACAGAGCTACACCCAGGCTGGTAGAGGCTGGTTTTATTGGAAGGCTTTCTGAAAAGAAACAGGCTGCAGACAGATAATGTAGGTTATATGCTGTGGAAATGCATGGATCCTGCTTAATGTATTAAATAGTCCAGGGAGGGAATGTTCTAGACCTATTTCTCTAATCCCCAAAGTCCTGAAAGCAAGCAGAGAGCTCAGTTATCCCCTCATACATTGCTTTGTTGTATAATAGTTTTGAAATTTTTTTAAAAAATCATATTACAGTGTACAAAGTTGCATCTGGTAGCTTAAAATCATGACACATTGCATTCATTCATAGAGGTAGGTGAAGCTTAACAGCATACTTATCTGGTAGGAGCTAAATACGTAGAAATAGCAAAGTAGACCAATTATAGGGAATTGGACCTATACGACAGAAGTAACATAGGAATGGTGTATATAGCCTTCCTGAGATCAGGAAACTTGCCCAACTGATCTGAGGACATACTTTTTGTTGTTGTAGCAAGCTTAGGGTGTCTTTAGAGAAACTATTTGGAAGCAAGAAAAATAAAACTGTAGGGTCGTATTACACATAGTCTTAGAGGAATTCATTTTCATCTCAATTCTTTACAGTTGCCTATGTACAATACTCATTTTTTCTCACTTTCCCTTTCTTGGGCCTCTAGTACTTGGTGTCTTGCCACTTTCTAAATTGTACCTGGTGTGAAAGTATCCTATCTGCAGCTTACTAAATACTGTTGCACCTCTGTCAAGTAATTTTCTAATTCAATAAAAGTGCCAATGTCAAATGTTTTGAATCTCTTTCTTTTTAATAGTTGGCTGAGTTTTATTACTGGTGTCAATGACTTTATTTAAAGGTAGTAAGTTTTTTTTCCTCTTTATGTGACCCTTATTAATTTCACCTGGACAATAAATACTCCAAAGACTTACATGTGTGGTTGAGCAAGATAAGTGCTTTGGGAGATAAAGAAAGTGCTAGAGGAATTCAAAGAAGGACGTGAAAAACTAAAGCAGGATTGGTGAAGGATAAGGAAAATGTCCAAGGACAAAGCGGAATCTGAGATGGACCTTGATGGACCCATTGGGTGCATAATAGAAGGGAGGGGCCGGATAGCAGGGACAGCATTTTGATGTCAAAATAGGCTTACAGGCCGAAAAGCCTAGAAAAATAGGCTTACAGGCAGAAAACCATGTGTATTCCAGAGAGCTGCGTCAACTTTGCCTACAGTGGTGGCTTCTAAATGTTAATCTGCTGACCAGTACTAATGCCAAGTGAAGTTTTTCTTTTTTTTTTTTTAAACCAATCTGTTTTTTAAAAAGTTAAATGCAGCATACTTAAATATGTAGTTGCTCATTGTCTTTTTCTGAGCAGCACTATACTATACTCAGATGGTTAGTCCCTTACATTTTTAGTATCAAATTATCCTTTTATAAGTGAAATTTTCAAGTTGGTCACTGATTGGATTTTTTAAAAATTACTTTTTTAATTGTACATATTTACGAAGTGCCATGTGATAGTTTAATAAGTGTATGCAGTACATAATGATAAAACGAGAGTACTTAGCATTTCTATCTCCTTAAACTTTTCTTAGGTTTTTGAAGACAAGCTCTCACCATGGAGTCTGGGATAGGCTTGAATTTGCTATATAGCCTAAACTAGCCTCAGACTTGTGCTCCTCATGCCTTAGCCTCTTGAGTGCAGAGATTGTAGGCATGTGCCAGCCACCATGCCTGATTCTCCTTAAACATTTTGTAAAAATTTAGATTAGCACAGAACAATTGTACCTATTTTATGAGGCCCAGTGTGATATTTCAATATATGCACAAAATGTGTATTGATCAAATAGGAGTAACTTGCATTTCTATATTCTTATTTGTATTTGGAGCCTTCCAGATATTCTGGTGATTCACAGAATATATAAACATTTATTTTGAACTCTGGTTACTCCACTGTGCTGTACTTGGTAAAAAGAAAAATAAGAAGCCAGGCGTGGTGGCACATGCCTGTAATCCCAGCCCTTGGGAGGCTGAGGCAGGAGGATTGTTGCGAGTTCGAGACCAGCCTGGAGTACGAAGTGAGCTCAAGGCCAGCCTGAGCTGCATAGCAAGACCCTGTCTCAGAAAGCACACCCCCAAAAAGAAAAAAGAAATGGAGCTACTATGTTTGTGCCTAGATTTTGTTTCACAATTTTACTAGTCCCTGAAATTCAAAAGTGTGGAGACAAACTGTAAAAGCATTGAATGTCAGAGTAAAGAATTGAGTTTGGTGGACAATGAAGAGAATCCTTGGGAGTTGTGAGCAGGAGAGTGAGCTGTTCTTCACGGAGGTGACCCTGGTAGTCTGCTGGATAGCCTGGAGCAGGGAGCCAATGGAGGGGAGCAGGTTACTGAGAGTGTATCATGCAGTCTGTGGAAAAGGAAAAAGGCTTTGACTTGGTTTTTGGCAGGGGCCCTGAAAAGAATAAAATGGATATAAGACAGAGTATAGAGGTAAAACCTAAAAGACTGGTACCTAGCTGGATAAAAGTAGCAAAAAAAGAGAAAGCATTAGAAATGATTTCTTAATCTCATTGGAAAAACCTGGATCAAGGGTACATGGAAACCATTTGTATTCTCTTCATGATTTCTTGTAAGTTTTACACTCTTTCAAAACAAGAGTTATAATAAAAAGCAAACGTTGAAAGGAAAAGGTGACTTCTTGATGGTTACAAAATGCAAGTAGAATTGAGGCTACCTGAGTTGGCAAGGATCAAAGCTGAAGACGCACACTCCGTTTTCAGGGGGGCAGCTGCCTAGTTTCAGTCCATTGTTGCTTATGAAAATGGAGCCCAGTGTTGCAGAAAAGTGCAAGCTTTCAAAGAACCTGGAAATGTGAAGTCTGGAGTTTTACATGAAATCTCTCTGTGTGCACAATGAATTTAAGAACCTTTTCCAGTGCTGGGGATTGAATTCAGAGCTACTCACAGGCAACATAAGCACTCTACCATTGAACTATAGCCCATCACTTTTTATTTTATTTTAAGGCAGGGTCTCACTAAGGTGCCCAGACTGGCCTCAAACTTGTGATTCTCCTGCCTCAGCCTTCTGAGGAACTGAGATTATAAGGATATGGCACTACACCTAGGTTCAAAAGCATTTTTTTTTCTTTTGTTTTGTTTTCCCGTATCAGGAATCAAACTCACGACTTTGCACTTGCCAAGCAGGCGCTGTGCTGCTGAGCTAAATCCCCAGTCCTCAAAAGCATTTTGAACAGCATGTAGGTAAAACATATATTATGTCTGTGAAAGACCTCAGTTCTGTTGACCCCTGCTGCTGGTTATCCCGCTTGTTCATGTAAAAATTTGGGAGTTGAGGGAAATTTGTGTTTGCACATTGTGGTTCCAATCAGAAATTCAGATCACAGGTTTATGCTGAAAATGCTGTATTTCCAAAGTCTCAATAAATTATTATTCTTATTCTCAGTAACATGACTAGAGGTAAAGTATAGGGGCCAGGGATATACCTCAGCAGCACAAGTGCCTGCCTGGCAAGCACAAGGTCCTGAGTTCGATTCCTGGTACCAAAAAAGAAAAAAGGAAAAAAAAAAAAAAAAACAAAGAGGTAAAGTAGAATGCTTAAGAATTGCTTACCTTACATGGAAACTTATTTAAGCTTGCTTTTGTCTCTGTCTCTGTTTTTGTCTCTTACTCTCTCTGTCTCTGTCTCTATATGTGTGTGTGTGTCTCTCTCTCTCTCTCTGCATGTGTGGTGATTTCTACACCAGCATATCTCTCTCCTCTGAGAAGGCACTTACATTCATGGCATTTCATTTAAATATTAGAAATCTTATTTCTTTAAGAAATTTGAAATGGATTTTATATGACAAGGTACTTTTTCTTCTTAGTGATAATTCACAGGTGTCTTAAACTCATGTTAAAAATTAGAAGAAACAGTGCAATGTTTATGAGCTGACATGCTCTGGTAAAATAAATGTTTATACTGCAACAGCAAGCAGAAACGCCAAACTGACACCCAGGATTTGGAGGCAGGTTTATTTACGTCAATGGGCACTGATTAGGATCACTCCCACAATATCAGGCCCTGATCTCTGGTGGTCTAGGGCTTATGAGATAAGCAAGCAGGAAGTACAGAGGCAGAATGGCTTGTCAGTTGGGGACTGGTTTATACAATGTGCATCGTGGTGAACAGCTATGCATCACAGTGACCAGCTGTTTCTAAGAGACAGAAGCAACTGGAACTGGATCAGTAACTATTACCTGGGCAACTAACAAACTGAAGTATACTGACTTGGGGGCATTTTTTTGCTACATTTCCACCCTCTTTTACTTTCTCTGGCAAATCTTTACTGAGCATGTTACATGTGATCTTCTGAGATAAGGCTTGACTAGCAGCAGTAGACAAAATTTAGGCCTGTCTGTTCTGTAACATTACTCTGGCAAGGTAGTGATGGAGTTAATTTGATCAAAAGAGTGTCCAGTGTGCCTTGGGTGCTCATAAAATCTCAATCAAGTGTTTAATTGATTATTCTGTTCTCTTGGGACAACTGTGCGTAGAGTTTGAGGCAAAAAAAAAACAACAACAACACAGCTAGCAGGAGGTGAGGAGGTAAGGATTGGGGTAAGTAAACAAGAATCATAGCTAACAGAGGGGCGGGGAAGCAAGGACTGGGGTAAGCAGCCTGAAAAGACACAAAAATCAAGGGGAAGAGGTATGGAGCAATCCTGTCAACGATGTCCTCAGGCTTCAGCTGTATGTGGACTGGTCTTTGGAGTAAGTCTTGGAGGAGGTGTCCAGTTAAATTTTTCAGTGGGTCTAAGGCTGGATTTCTGACACTTGTAGAGGTAGTTAATATGTACCTGGGTTATATGTGTCTGCAAGGATGTCTATAGATACAGCTGGTCTTTTAACTGGTTATAAGCTGTATGTAGTTTTTATTTAATCTAGTTTTTGTGTTACCTCTGCTACAAATGCAAGCCTATTTTTGCTGCCAATGATCAAGGGTAGGCCATATCTAGGGAATATTTTTTCATAGCAGGACCTTACAAAATTTTATTGTCTTCTCAGTACAGGTAGGAAATGGGAGGTCAGGACTGGTGACACAGATGCTAAAGCCTGAGCTGGCTGCAGGGGTATAGGTGCCAGTGAAGCTGCTTGAGCTTGCAGAACATATGGTGGGGGCACATCTGGTTCTGTATTGTTGGTGGCAGGCTTCCAAATAGCAGCAGGAAGCAGTAGCAGGAGAGCTTTGGCCAAAATAATTTTGTCCAAGGTGATGACAGCATATCTAGCCTGTCCTAACAGAGCTACTTCTATCCATAAACAGGGTGTATTCAGCATCTGTCAGGGGAGTTACCTTTTTAAGTTTGACCAACTCAAGGATAGCTTATCAGACAGTACCAGGCAGTCATGGTCTGAGCACAGCTCTGTGGGCAGGTATGTGGCAGGATTGAACGGTTTTATTGCCACAAGAGTCAGGCAGGGATTTTTGCATAAGAGTCCTAAGTACTGGGTGAGGTTCACCACCTCATGTGGTATCTGGACAGTTAGGTCTTGGCCACAGATGAGTTTGTTGTTTCTTTTTCTTTTTCTTTTTTTTTATCAGAAGGACAGTGGCTGCTAGAGCATGGAGGCAAAAGGGTGAGGCAGCCCTCAGTGACCAGATCTAAGTATTTGCACAGATAGGTCACTGGACACTTCCAGGGTCCAACAGTGTGAGTAAACATCATTGTTTTTGTGAACTCAAGGATACAGATTTTATAGAAGCTAGCAACTCTAAGAAATTTTCGAA